CCCTTTTGCCGAAAAAGGAAACAAGATCTGTACTTTATACCATACACGAAAACTAACTTCAGGTGGATCAAAGAGTTAAATGGAAAACGTAGAACTATAAAATTCCTCAAGGAAAAAATAGGGGCAAATTTAGGGGCCCTAATTTATGGCATAAATAGATTATTAGGCATAACCCAAAATGTACAAACAGCAGAAGATAAACTAGATGAATGGGACCTTTTAAAAATTAAATTTTTATGTGCTTCCAAAGACGTCTCCAAAAGAGTCAAAAGAGAACCTACAGATTGGGAAAAAATATTTGGCAATAACATATCTGACAAGGGACTTATCTCTGAAATTTATAGAAAACTCCAACAACAAAAAGATAATCCAATTAAAAAATGGGCAGAAGACATGAATAGACACTTCACCAAAGATGATATTCAGGCAGCAAACAAACACATGAAGAAATGCTCGCAATCATTAGCTATTGGAGAGATGCAAATCAAAACAACAGTGAGAAAACACCCTGTCCCACACTAGCAAAGTTCAGCAAGACAAAATAATGTTGGTGAGGATGTGGAGAGATTGGGACTCTCATACACTGCTGGTGGGACTGTAAAATGATACAACCACTGTGGAAAGCAGTGTGGAAATTCCTTAAAAAGTTGGACTTAGAAATACCATTTGATCCAGCAATCCCATTACTAGGTATATATCCTGAAGAAGGGAGAGCCAGAACAAAGAATGGATATATGCACATCCATGTTCATCACAGCACAATTTACCATAGCAAAGAGGTGGAAACAACCCAGGTGCTCATCAACAGAAGAATGGATAACCAAACTGTGGTACATACACACAATAGAATACTATGCAACACTAAACAATGTAGGAAACACTGTAAAACACTGTATAACGTGGGTGAACTTGTCAATCATAAGTCAGTCACAGAAGGACAAATATAGTATTAGTTCATTACTGTAAAAAGTCAAGGAAAGGCTTATATATGGAAGGAAACTTTCTTTGCTGGTTCCTGGGGTGGGAGGGGAAAGGAGGGAATACTGCTAGATAGGAAGGGACAAGCATTGATTTTGGTGAAGGGAAGGGCAAAGTACCAAATGTGAGTGATCAACATGGTGGCATTGAGGAAGAGGAAGACAGAGGTACATGGGAGGTACAGACAATAAAGGCGAATCTGTTTGCATGTATAGTACTTTGTTGTCATTGATGACAAGCATTGATCTACAGGTGGATAGATGGGTGGATAAGCTGAATGATTAGGTTTATCTAGGCAGGAGGTAGTATGCCCATGCGTGTGTATAGGGGTTAGTGGACAATGTTTCTACATGTGTATTTGTATGTGCTGTAAGAATGTCCAGGTATATAGTAGAGCTGACGAGGGGCAAGGTTGTAGTGGCTTCTTGACTACAGCCAGCTATCCAGAGAGTGAGTAGTTGGACCTGTGGGATCAGGACCACAGTCATGGGACATCAAGATCAGTTGGCACAACATACTACCCAAAAACATTGTTCTACATCCAGCTTTGGTGAGTAGTGACTGGGATCTTAAAAGCTTGCAAACGGCCATCTGGATGCAACTATGGGTCTCTTCTCATCCAGAGCAAAGAAGAACAAAGAAAACCAAAGACTCACGGGAACAGTTAGTCCAAGGGACTGGTAGACCATGCAATCCTCAGCCTATATGATCATGAGACCAGAAGAACTAGATGATGCTTGGCTGCCACTGTCAACCACTCGGAGGGGGATCTATGTAGGAGATCCTGGATAGAGAGGGAGAACAATGTAGAGCAAAACTCAAAATCATTAAAAAAAAAAAAAAAAAAACCAATGAGGTTTGGTGGTCTGATAGAGCCTGGTGAAATCCCTAAGACATAACCCTTAGCCACCTTTCAGGTCTGGAATTGAACTCACTCTTGTGGCTTCCAGCCAAGTAATAGGCGTATGAGGTAAACATTTACATCAGGTAGATACACTCCTTGAAACGATCAACCATGGGAGAACAGAAGAGCAGTGTTTGCGCAGGGAGATAGCTTGGGGGCGGGGCACCGGGAAGGAAGGACACAGGGAAGAGGTGACTTTGGGGAGGAAGTGGGAGGAGAGCTGTTACCTTGTGGAGAATTGTAGTCAATGTCATAAGACAAAATATGTATGAACTGCTGTATGGAAAATGAATATGCTCTGTAAACTTTGACCCAAATCACAATAAAAATTTAAAAAAAAAACAAAAGATTGGTGCTTGATTATTGGCATTTCTGATAATAAGCTAAACCTTTTCGTCAGGTATTGGGAAACAAGACCAAACTGGTTCTGGAATCAGCTTAACCATCAACCATCACACAGTCCTTTGATTAAATCATCTAAAAGGTTTTTTGGGGGCTCAATTCCATGTTCTGTTTGCAGTCTGGTGATCATGAGGTGTTTCTTTCTTTCTTTCTTTTTTTTTTTTTTTTTTATAATTCTTTAACTCATTGTGATAATTGATCGGGGCATCTATGCAATTTATGCTATTAATTGTGATGACTGCCATACCAGGTGGAAGAAAAACCAAACCCACTGCCATCAAGTCAATTCTGACTCTTAGCAACCCTATAGAACAGAGTAGAGCTTCCCCTTAGAGTTCCCAAGGTTGTAAATGTTTACAGAAGCAGACTGCTTCATCTTTGTCTTGCAGAGCCGCTGGAGAGTTCAAACTGCTGACCTTTTGGTTAGCAGCCCAATGTTTTAACCACAGTGCTACCAGAGCTCCTTGTAGCAGGTAGAGAGGAGTTGATTTGGGGCCCTAGAAATATATTTGCAGTTCTGTGTTAGTTACATCTTTCTAGGTCACTAGAGAAGGAAGTAGTGGAAGTCAGAACTGACCCCTTTTCTTTCCACCTCCCCCCCGTCATACATGTCACGTCTTTCTATATTCTGTTCAGAATCCTGCATTGTGCCTGGCACCAGGTAATTAAGGGACAAGAAGCATAGAAAAACATTGCTGTTTCTTCTCTGACCAGGTGGAGTAATAAAAAATTGTTGTACCTTTTTAGAAGCTCCACTAAAAACTTGGGCTTTACCTTCAATCTGAATGTGCTCATTCATTGTCTGTTAAAATGAATCGCAGAGGCTACCTGTGTTAGGAGCTTAAATTAGAGATAGGAAGATGGTAAAAGGAAATACAATTTCAATAAAAAGTTTCCTGGACCCAAAGCTAATGAGAAGAAAGAGTACGTGTTGTATCAGGTTGTTTGTTCAAGTAAAGAGTAACTTTCATCTTAGTTTCGTTCCTGACCTTCACTCCTTCTGCCAGTGATGAGAGAAAGAAGAGCTTTAAGATACATTTTCCATATTTTAGGAATCTTGTATTGCTGGCAGCATAGAAGCATTTCAGCTACAGGGAAGTGTGTTGCTAAATGGGACATTTGGCAAGATCTGTTATTCCTGGCTAAGAGGAGAAGAATGAGAGTTTGGGGAAAAACAGACAGGTGAGGTAGAGGAGAAAGATACAAATGGAGATCTCGCAGAATACTAACTAGAATACTAATCGATGACCCAGAGGTCTCCAGATAGAGATGCTCACAAAGGGTCAGTTCTGCTTTGTTATGTAAGGAAGTGTTGGGGGAGAAGTTTCCTGTTTCTTCTCTACTGAATTCAAGGGCATGTTAGAACTAGGCCAGACCGTAGACAGTAAAGAGAAAAATTGTGGAGAATGCTCTTGAAGTGTTAGCATTCAGGAGAACTGCTTTGACACAGAATGTTGTTAACACCATTAATTGCTGGAGGGTTCACAGTAGAGCTGCTTCTGAAAGCGGTTGAATTTACCTGGAGTTTATGTTACTTTATAGTATTTCCTAGTTTTTCAGGATGAGCTTTTCCTCAAGGGAGAGGAAAGTGCCTATATTCGTTGAGGTGGAGAATGTACGGTCTGTATGAATGCAGTTCCCATCCCTCCTCCACCATAAAGCTTACTATGTTTTCTAGCTTCAGTAAATGAAAAACTTACTTGCATCAGGCAGTGTACACATTTAAAGTTAATTATGAAAGAAAAAGGTCAAGTGCTCCTTAAATTGTTTTTTTTAAAACTAGATTGTATAACTCGATAGAATTTTCGTGGTAGCTTGCTTGCTTTTATCATTTCTGGAAACTGAAAAATAGATATAATAGTATTGCTTTGAATTTTACAAAATCGATTAGAAAGATATAATTAAATGTTCTGTTGTTGGGGGTGTACCATTGTTTTATCTCTTGTTTAATGAAACTCTCAGTGTAGCTTGAGGATATTGTAGGTCATTGAAAAGGAACGTAATTTGCTGTATAACCGAAAAAACCAAACTCACTGCCATTGAGTTGGATCCAACTCATAGCGACCCCTCCTTGGATTTCCTAGGTGGTATCACTACAGAAGTAGATTACTCAACCTTCCTTCCGAGCAGTAGCTGGTGAGTTTGAACCGCCAGCCTTCTGGTTAGCAGTAAGGTGCCTTAGGCACTACGCTACCAGAGCTCCCAATTTGCTATATAGGTACTTGCGCAATTTTAACGTGGTCATGGTTTATTGATGTGTTTGCATGTTTATGCTCTTTTGCATCATACTCTTTGAATTTTTCTGAAGCATGCAAAGTTTAGGATTGTAAACTTTAGAAATGTAAAATTGATTGAACATGTGAGTAAAATAGAAAACGTATCACAAATTGATTTACACATATTTTAATCACTGTTATATTAACCTGGGCAAAGTAATGAAGGCTCTGTTGAAAATCTGGATGTATAAAAGTTAGGTGCACATGCTAGGCATGAAAAAGCATTGTCGTTTTGCTATTCATGGTATTAGACTTTGTCTTTAAAATAAGATGAGAATATATTTGTACTCTAAGTCATTTTTCTAAAGGATTGGTTTATGGAGCCTGTTCATACAAGGGAAAACACACAGAGCTCCTTTGCAGATTCAGTGCTGCGTGGCCCTCTTTGTCCCTTATTAATTAGCCAGATGCTCCGCTCAGAATTTACTTTTTCCCGGCAGTTGATCCAGTCCCCTGTGACAACCCCCCTTGGGTTGATCATGTTGAAGACGACATCAGAGGAGTTGGCTTGCCCCCGGGAAGACCTTAGTGTGGCTCGGAAAGAGGAGTTGCGGAAGCTGCTGCTAGACCAGGTGCAGACAGTGCTTGGGCTGCTGACAGGTGAGTGGCTTGGTGGTGCCAGGAGACAGAGGCCTGCCTGCAGATGCCCAGATCTCAGGCCCTGATGCTCAGAAATTCTGAGTGGTTGTTTTAGCTGCCCCTGAGACTGAGCGGTTATAACTGAGTGTTCTAATGGAAAGAATTTAGTGCTTTATTCCCATCACATAGCCCAAAGTCTAGCACATGTTGTTGTTATGTGCCATCGAGTCGAACCCGACTCAAAGCGACCCCTCCTTGGGTTTCCGAGGCAGTATCACTATGGAAGTAGATTGCCCAACCTTCCTTCCAAGGAGTGGCTAGTGGGTTTGAACCTCCAGCCTTCTGGTTAGCAGTCACGTGCCTTAGGCACTGTGTTACCAGAGCTCCTAGTAGAACCTTAAAAAATGTGACTTGTTTTCCTTGTGGTTTTTCATCCATTGGGACTTGCAGCAGCTGTGATTAATGAGGTACAGAATGGGTTGTGGGAATGCGACTGAAATGTCTGTGACCACATTCTAAATAAGGTGGATGGCAGACACTTAAAATCATTTGAATTTAAGATCAGGAGGAGTTCAATGTAAAACTTTCAAATTCTGTATAGAAAGTGAGACGAGGTGTGGAATCAACCCCTTTGCACTAGGTTGTAGTTGTATATAGCATTTTCTTACTTTGACCTCTGCAGTTTTATTAGAGCCTCATGACCTTGTGAGAAAGGTAAGAATTAAAAAGCAAAGCACGAGATGAGACTGAAAGGCAGACTGAGTGGAGTCATGAGGAGCACCTGTCACTGGGGAGGCTGATGTGCCGCCTGGTGTGTTCAGGGCCAGGGGCCTAAGGTTGTTGCCTGAGGGGCTGCTCTAGTGCAAACAAGTGCTTTTGTCTCCACTTCCCCTACCCAGGGTTTCTTCTTGGACTCCAGGATTTTTTTTTTTTTTTTGTATATGTATTTTAGAACTTGGCATGTAGTGAGCACTTAAGATTGGTTGAAGGAAAGATGGATCAAAAGTGAACTTGTTTATTCTTTCCCTTCCTCCTCACTCTTCCCCAGGTCTTCAGGAGAAACCCAAACCTCAGAGCATTCATTCATTCATTCAAAACCCATTTATTGACACCTCAACTAGATAGAAAATTTCTAGACTTGGGGACTGTGTCTTATACCTTTATGTCCTGTTGTGCATATTAAACATTTTTTAATTGAGATATAAACTTATTCCATAAAATTGACAGTTTCAAAATGTTAACAGTTTAGTGGTTTTTAGTATATTCACAAGATTGTGCAGCCATCACCATGATCTAATTCCAGAATGGTTTCATCCCCCTAAGCCATATCCATCAGCAGTCACTCCCTCTCCTCCTGCCCCTCACCCCAGCCCCTGGTAAACATTAATGTACTTTCTGTTTCTATGGATTAGTCTATTCTGAACATTTCCTATGAATGGAGTCATATAATATGTGGCCTTTTCTGTCTAGCTTCTTTCACTTAGTATGTTTTCAAAGTTCATCGATACTGTGATATTAAATATTTTGAAAACAAAATATTTTCAGAAACCTTTATGATCATCTTACGTGTCAGGTTCTGTGTAGTGTATACAAAGAAGAATAAAATTTCTCTAGTAATTTACAGTCTCCTGGAAGAGATGGGCAAATAGACAGTTAAGAAAATAGTGTTTTAGGAGTTCTCATGGAGGGATATTCTAGGTGCATACAAAACTGAGTGGGCAAGAAGACTTCCTAGAGGAAGTGACACTGAGTGAAATCCAGAGGGACAGACAGCCCTGAGTCTGGAAGAAAGGTCAGGTTGGGGTTGGGGGAAGGAGAGCAGGTTAGAGGTTTAGAAAGAGGACATGTTCAAGGAATAGCATGTGGAGTGGGTCAAAGAGAGTGAGCAGGGTAGATGAGGCTGGATGGAGTGAGCAGAGCCAGGTGCTAAGACTGTGTAGGGTGCTACTGTTTACTGGGTGAGAAACATAAAAAAGAGGTGGCAGGTTTGTGAGGGAAGAGCAGTCAAGTTTGGGATATCCCAGTGGTGGGGTCAGGAGGCAGTTGGCTGTGCAGGTCTTTGAATGCCAGCCTTGTCTCTAAATCCCTGTCCTGTTGACATCAAGCTGAGCTTGTATGGTCAGGATGAGTTTTGGGCTGAGGGAGACTCGAGAGGCTTCCGAATGTGTTCTGTTGAAGCTGTGGCAGTAGATGAGTCACTCCAGAAGAGGGAGTGAAATGAGAGGAGAAGAGGGCTGTTGAGGGAACCTGGGGAAGATTCATGTTTAAGTGATGGGCAAAGGATGAAGGTAACTGGAAGAGACCAATTGAGCTCAAAGAAACAGGAGACCAACAAGGAGTAGGGCCCTGGACTGTAGAGAAGGGTTTGGGCAGTGACTGGGATGCCACAGAGTTGGTCAAGGAGGATGAGGATTAAAGTGGCCACAGGATGGACTTAGTAACCAGGTGACCTTGACAAAAAACAGTATCCGTGGAAATAGTGGGAGAGAAGCCACGTGATGAGGTTGAGGTAAAGCAATAGAGATGCTCTGAGTGGGGACAGTACTTTCCAGAAGATAGCTGGACGTGAAGTAGACAGATAGCAGCCATGAGCTAGAGGGGTACATGTGATTGAGAGGGATGTTTAAATACCGATAATTGATTTAAAGGTATCAATAAATCTTTTTTTTCTAAATCTAATTTTCATATGCTGGGCTTTATTTTTCTCTAAACTCATTTTTTTCTCTTCTTGGTAGGTATCTTGGAGACCGTCTGGGACAAACACAGCGTTACTGCCGCTACTCCGCCACCATCCCCGACCTCAGGAGATAGTGGTATGGTCTCCCAGCCACATACGGCATGCTTCTTTTTAAACGCAGTTAGGAGTCTTGGCAGAGTAGCGGTAGTTTATCTAGGCCAGGTACAGATGGTGATTCCTCGCTGTCTTTGGTCTTTCTGCCCATGTTTTCTGAGTAGCTGACTGTCTTAGTTCCTCATGAGTGCTTGTTCATTCCAGTACAATGTTTTGAACAACACAGTTTGCTCCTTCCTTGCCCATCATGAAGATGACACCTTTGATTCTGTCATCACTCCGTCATCTTAAGTTTATAAATCGCTGTCTCTCCTGGTTTGTTGGACTCATTTTTCCCTTTTTTCAAACTTCGTGGTTGCATTGTTTGAGTTGCATTGGTATGAGCTTGACAGATCTGCTTTATGGCTCTTCTGGGGCTGTCGAAGGCAGGCAGCAGCCTGACGTGGGGGCAACGGGAGAGAGTGCCTTCTCTCTTCCCCACTAGACTTGGGGGAAAGTCATGTTGGCCAGGAGAGACGGGGGCCCAGTTGTGTAGGATTGCTTTTGCATTTACGTTAGTTAAGACTAATTCAGTAAAGATGGGGCATTCGCAATGGCTGTGAAACAGTTTACTGATTGCTAGGGATTGTCCACAGTTACATTAATTTTTGTTTCAGAGGTCAGAGTACAATACATTTAAAAATGACTGCTTTCAAGGATGATGGAAAGAGGAAATTGTGTCTGAGCAGGAACTTTTAGTTTCTAAATGCTTTTGTTTACACTCGGTGATCACACGTGGTTTTCAAGCAGAGGGCAGCCTGTGACTCGGCACCCATTTCTTCCTCTCCTGTGAAGGTTGATGTGACTAATGAGAAGTATTTCCGCATCTTTCTCTTTTACCCCAAGGAAATAGGCTGTTGAAATCAGATGTCTCTAAACCCAAGCTGTTTCAGATGGCCTGTTATTAATATGTAAGAGTTGAAATTTTTGTGGTTGCTGTAGAATTGAAAATACATCTTGAAGCCTGAGGACCACTCATAGTATTCTAATTTAGTCCAAATTCCATTTAGCATACTTCTGTTGGATTAAAAGCTGTTGCTATTAGAGAGTCATCTGTCATACTTTGAGATTAAAACTCACTGCAGTTTGGGAGTGTATCAAGAGCCCCAGGAAACTGAACTTCATTTGTAGTTGGTGGCATTCTCGAGGTGAATAGTTGAGGTGCCTCAGCAGATACATATTTTTCGATATTTGAATGAAAAAAGAAAATTTTGCAGATGATACAGAGATCGGATTTTGTGAGTAAACATGTTAGAATCTCCCTCAGTTTGGCTGGTCATGATGTTTGTCATCTAACTAAAATATTAGATTAGTTCTTTTGAATGAGATTTGTTTTTAGATACTTGAATACTAGCTTAGAATCCAGTTTTAAGTTAGCACTAGCAGTTTACTTCATCAGACTTGTTTTTCTGAGATCATTTTCCAGTACCAAGAACTTTGTGTTTTAATTGCCCTCATTCAGATACATGTTCTGAACTAACTCAGTTTATCCTTAGATCAACTTACTTTCCTGGAGGCCAAGTTGGGGTATGTCATATACTACAGACTAGAATTACTGTGCTCACCTCTTCGGTTATGTATTGCCTAGCTTTTATTATGAAGTGAAATACACTGCTCCTCACTTACAGACTATCTTGTTACCTGACATTTCACATTTACAACAATAATAAAAAATTTCTAATGCAAAAAATATTAATAGACAACCTACATAAGTAAGAGCTCAATGGGATTCTCAGTAATACTTAAGAGATAAAGGGGTTTGAATCCCAAGTATTTGCGAACTGCTGATAAAGTATAAAAACTAAAAATGTACCCAGTGTGCCATCCTGTAGGAATGACATCAAATGATATTTCCTCTTTCAAGACTTCTCTCTATACATGGATACAGATGATAGATTAGAATAGATAAAAAGACAAAATGGCATCATATATTTTGTTTTTGATAAAAACAATTAAATTTTAGTTTTATTTGACTTTAACTGAAGATACTAAACGGAAGGAATTATTCACCCTGAGGTGCTTTTTCCATAAGGAATGTTGTTATGTGCCATCAAGTCAGACCCGAATCATAGCGACCCCTCCTTGGGTTTCCGAGGCGGTATCACTACAGCAGTAGATTGCCCAACCTTCCTTCTGAGGAATGGCTGGTGCGTTTGAACCGCCAGCCTTCTGGTTAGCAGTCAAGTGCCTTAGGCACTATGCTACCAGAGCTCCCCCATAAGGAATAGTACTTCCTAAAAGATACCTCTAGGTTAAGGAAAAAAAGACTAAATACCAATTTCTTATGGCATGTTTTAATTTTAAAACGTGTATTTGGAGACTTCTTGCTTATGAAAGGTGAAAAAAATTAGCTAGCACATCCTTCTGTGTTCCTACGTTTGTTGAGTCTTAGTTCTGTATTTAATTCAGTGTTTACCCAGTCCTTTTGCCATGGCTTCTCCATTCCTTAATTCTTCGTTTTGATTCATTTATTTGTGTGGTTTGATTGCCCAATATCCCCTGTAAGAAAATTTTGTGAAAGAGAGATTATTTGAGTTTTTACATCTTTGAGAAAATATCATCTGTCTTTATACTCAGAGGAGAACTGATATTTTGCCCCAGCACTTAGAGAGACTGCTGCACTGTCTTCTGGCTTTAAATGTTACTGTGGAGAAGTCTGAAGTAGGCATAGGTTTTCTTTTTTGTATATGTGCTTTTTCTGCCAAGATTCCTTCCTTATTTCTAATGTTCTTAGTATTGATCACACTGTTATCATTTTTTTTTGAGGTAGAATATGCCCTTTCATCTTGTAGAATCACATTTTTATTTCAGGAAAGTTTTCTTGTAGAATCACATTTTTTTTTCAGGAAAGGTTTCTTCTGTTATTGAACTGAAACTGAACTCACTGCAGTCGAGTCAGTTCTGACTCACAGTAACCCCTTTGGGTTTCCGAGGCAGTAAATCTTTATGGGAGTAGATTGCCCAGTCTTATAAAAACTTAACATTTTGTGTAAACTTATTTTAATGTATGTAGATGTTTTCATTCAGAGTAATTTTTTTTTTTTTTTTTTTTAAATTGTGATTTGGGTGAAAATTTACAGAGCAAACTCACTTTCCACACAGAATATGTTTTTAAAGTCTTTCTAAGCTGCTGCTTGTGCTTTTAGCCCATTGCATGTGCTGGCTGTGTGATGTGTTGTGCACTTACAGCATTTTGCCTATCTTTTCCCTCGGTGAGTGAGTGCAGGGTAGGGAATCATCCACATTCCTGAGCAGTAAAAATTAGGATCAGCACAGAGACGTACCTCTGCTCTCCAACTTTTCACCATTTCTGATGTCAGCCTTTCCCCCCGTGGCACTCTCTACTTCCGTACTGGGTTTGATAATTCTTTGCAGTGTCCACACGGAACTGACAGACCATACTCACAATTATGTGGTTTATTTGACCAGTAACAGGAACCATTCAGGATCAGGATTGGGAAGGTTTGGAAGGCTCTCCTGAAATGGAGGGTACATCCCTCTCTTCTTCAGTGCAGGATGGCACACCCAGCTCCTCACAGCCGTGCAAGCAGCTGTGCAAGCAGCCAGGTGCCCCTCTGGGCTGTGAAGGCCCCTCTGGGCTGTGAAGGCCGTGCCGGCCCGCTCTGGGCTCTATAGGGCCTCTCTTGGCTGTGCCAGGCTCCTTCTGGGCCCCCCGTGGCTGTGCCAGCTCCCCCTTGGCTATGTAGGCCTCTACTTCAATCCCCACTGCTCGCTGGCCTAGCTCACAGCCAGTGTAGCAGCTGGCTTAGCTCTCAGCTGCTTTCCCAGCAGCTGCTTTCTGCTGTCAGCACCAGCTCTGGGCAGAGCCCCTTATGGGCCTGTCACTGCTTGTTCTGCCACAGGGCCCCTTCCAGGTCTCCTGTTCTCTTCAGTGTTAAAATCCTTGACCCATATTGCAGCTCTTTCAGGGGGTTTCTTGCCGCCTCTCTTCCTTCTTTCTCTTCTCCCTACTTGTCTCAAAAACAATCCCTGTGGGGTTGGCTGTTACATAAGCAAAGTCCTTGTCAATTTCAGGTCCTGGCCCTCAAGGAGAGCCATGAACTGACCAATCCCTGCCAGGTGTATAAGGTAGACCAATCACAGGGCAGATTGCAGCCCAGGGCTAGACAAAAGTATCAAACCACCAAGATGTATACAGCTTACCCAGGAAATTTCAACCAACCTGTACAAAAGTAATGTGCCTTCTGGGGTAGAAAACAACCTGGGAGGATCCCTCACCCCTTCTGTCCTTGCCCCAACTTGCCAAGGAACTAGGGCAAAAGTAACTCCTCAGGGCCTAACATTAAGATCTCCCAGCTGTTCTTCCAAAGAATCAAGGCAAAAGGCCTTGCAAAGGAACTTTGTTAACTGCAGTGAGGAACCCTGATACAGACACTGTGATTTCAGATACTGTGATTTCATCCTGGTAACTGGCTCCTCCTGGGCCTGTGGGAGGGTTGCTTGGGCGGCTTCTGGGAGGGGAATTGTCAGGAGGAGGGATATTCATCAGGACTCCAGGATGCCAGGTTCTTTTTCAGAATGACTGTACTTCCCCCAGTGCTGCATGAAAGTTCCTGCATTTCCCCTTCACCCTCAGCACTTGGCATTATTATTATCCAGCTTTTTTATTTTTCTCAATCTTTTAATTTGCTGTTTTCTGATTACTAAATGAATTTGCGATCTCCCTATATGCTGATGGCATGTATTTTGAGTTTTTATCTGAAAAATGCCTGTTCATATCTGCTGCCTGTCTTTTGATTGGGGCTGTACCTTTTGAGTTTGTAGGATTTTTCTTGTAGATTTTAGATTATAATCTTTCTTGGTGTTGAAATTTTTAATGTCTTCTGATAGTCTGTTACATACTTAATAACTTTTCCTTAATGCTCTTCATTGAATTAAAAAAAACTCTTAATTTTGTTGTTACTAAATTAAGGATTTTTTTTGTTAAGGCTTATGTGTTGGTGGTTTTAATAGTCTTTCTCTGATGCTCCTATATTTTCTTCTATTAATTTTAATGTTTTGTCTTTTGCTTGAGGTCTTTCATGCATTTGGAATTCATCTTGATAAATGATGCTAGGGTCTGTTTATTTATTTAAATAAGAGTCATATATCCCTTTTTACAAATATGTCATAATTTTGGGGGGCAGTAGAAAGATGAAAACCTTGGGTTCGCGTGGGGTTTTATAGCCCATCCTTAGCCTCCTTACTTCTGTCTCCTGAGATTCTGCTGTTTCACAAATCTCATTAAATTTAAAATGGTGAAGATTATGCAGATTTTTATTTCAAGCAACAGATTGTAACAGTTATCTTAATTTTTGCTGTACTGTTAAGTATTTATCATTGATGTTTAACATTGAGTGCTCAGCTACTGACAGAAAAGTTGACGGTTTGGACCCACCCAGCAGCTCTGCACAAGAGAAGAGCTGGTGGTCTGCTCCTGTAGATGATAGCCTAAACGCCCATGAGGCAGCCCTGCCCTGTCACGTGGGTCACCATGAGTCCAAATTGATCTGACAGCATCTAAAAACAACACTGAGCATATTGATTTTATATTTTGATGTAATAGGTAAACTATTTTTGGTTCTTTTTTTTTTTTTTTTCCAGCGGGGGAGAAGGTAAGCTACTTCGAGAGGTTTGTAAGAAATTTGACAGTGGATATTTTAGAAACCTTTTTTATTTTCAGGTGACTTACTGAGTAACCTGTTACAGAGTCCTAGTTCAGCCAAATTACTGAATCAGCCAATCCCCATCCTTGATGTGGAGAGTGAGTATATCTGTTCTCTGGCTTTGGAGTGCCTGGCTCATCTCTTCAGTTGGATTCCTCTGTCTGCCAGCATCACCCCATCCCTCCTTACCACCATCTTCCACTTTGCACGCTTTGGCTGTGACATCCGGGCCAGAAAGATGGCATCAGTTAACGGCAGCAGCCAGAACTGTGTCTTGGGTCAGGAGCGTGGCCGACTTGGAGTTCTGGCCATGTCCTGCATCAATGAACTCATGTCCAAGAACTGTGTGCCTATGGAATTTGAGGAGTATTTACTGCGTATGTTCCAGCAGACTTTCTACCTCCTGCAGAAAATCACCAAGGATAACAATATCCACACGGTGAAGAGCAGACTAGAAGAACTTGACGAGAGGTAATGAAAACAGGTGTGGAGCCAAGTCGTGCCCTGAGAAGGGGCTGAGACTGTTATGTTGTGCTGCATAGTGTCTGTAATCCTCTTCGATTTCAGGATTTGGGGCTCCTGGTGAGGAACGGAAAGGTAGGGTTGTACCAGTAAGTCTGAGATGAGCTGGAAGGGCTAGGGTGGTTAAGGGAAATGAGTTGAGTTTGAAAAGCGATTGTCAGTTTTGTAGGTGTGTTGTCTTTTCCCCCCATCCGTTTTCTGTCCTCCCTCCACCCCTGTCTCTACTTCCTCACTATATGCCTGCAGGTCTGAGGTGTGCAGGGACTGACTGCTGCCCATGCGTAGCCAGGAACAGGAGAAGAGGTCCGGAGAGGTACAGGGGTTATCATCTGCCCTCTCTCTCTCACTTGGTGTGTTGCTTGTCAGTTTTTACTATTTGACTTTTCCCAAGTGAACTGCCTTTCAGGTTGTAGGAGTGTCCTTGTTACTGTGAGTTGTATACAGATGGCAACTTTTTAACAAAACATAGGAGAGATGGTCATGGGCACATGTTAATAGGGTGCACACCTGTTTCTTCGTTACTGTTCTCTTGGATGGAGCCTAAAATTCCCTAGCCTTTTTTCCTAAAACACTGTCAAAGATGAATCCATCATGGTTGAGGCAGAGTCTCATTTTTGTCCCCTGCAGATGTCCTGTGTATCTTAAAACTTTCATGAGCATGATAATATTGCTATATGAAAAATAAGAAGGAAAGTGGGAACTTGTATTAAGAACATACGTTTTGATTTGCTCTGTAAACTTTCACCCAGATCACAGTACAATTTAAAAAAACCCCAAAAACATACACATTGCCTGTGTTCAGAAACCTCCCAGTGAATAAATAAATTAGTAAATACAGATTGCCTGGTAGCCAAAGTTACTAATACTTTTTTCAATATTCTTGGGTGGTTTTTTGTTATTAAACTATACAGAGTTACACTATTTCTCTGTCCTTAGATTAAATAGCAGAATATAAAGTCAGGTGCGTAATGTGAAGAAACTTTCAGTCGTTTTTAAATCTAGCAATTTTATTGGGTTTTAGAATTCTAAAGTTAAAAAAATGGTACATAAGATTATTTTGGTTTGGTTTACACAAGTTTTATGTGAAATTTTCTTTGTATAATCACCAAAGAACTCGTAATCTAATACGGTAATGTTTTTCTTTTCATTCCTTAATAATAGCTTTCTGTATAAATTCAAGAATAAAAGATTCTACACATACAACCTTACATGCTTTCTAACTTTGGTTAGGAAAACCGGTTTAATCTTCATATGTTAGAAAAACAGCGATTTTTATCAGTGATGAAATGCTGCCTTGTTTTTACTTTTCACTTGTAGCATACTGAGTCTTGGACAGTTTTGTTGTGGCTTACCATCTGGGTGATACAGAAATGTCATGGATTATCTGTGTATTGATTTTGCTACATGTAACTTTTATGCTCTTGGTTTTATATTTTAATCCTATGCTTCCTATTGCCCTGTGAAAGCTGAGAGGTGCCTGGAAGCAGAAAGGTGACATAAACAATACTGTGTGCTTGCTTCCGGGCTCTGGGGTCCCTTACCACTAATTCTAAACAGCTAAGTCCAGGCTCAGTTGTTTAGGAGCTGCTTAACCAGGTCCTTTGCTTTTCTTCTCCTTTACTGCTTTGTTCTAACTTTCCACTGCTCATTAGCACCTGTACCAGAAGGTGGGCAAGGGCAGGAAAATGAGGTGAAATGAAACCGGTAGTTTGGGCTACTGAAATGCCTAGTCTTTATTTTTCCATTGGGTTGGAGAATGAAATAAAATTGAGCTTGCTGACAATTTCACCCTCCCGTCCCCCGATTTCTCTCTGTGTTTTATGGGTGGTGGGGGGTTGACCCCTCCTCCTAAAGAACAGGAAACTGGTTCACAAATTCAAATCTCCATCAAAGTACGATGGAATAGTAAACAGTGAGGATTTCCTGTTCTTGAGTATTCATCAGAGAGAAGTCTCTTTATACTTTCCTATCTCTAAAAACAATTCATTTTAGTGCTTTGTTAATGTTTTTCAAGTATTTGGCCCCATGATCCATAGAGATAGCCATTTTCCTTATTAAATTAATGTTTTTTTAAAAAGCTGCAAATAAGCTCATTGCTTTGTACGTGAATGGCTTATAGAGGCCAGACAGGCAGGTTGGCCACCCTTGGGGTGATAGTCCCAAGAACAGTGGGAGAAGTTTTATTTCTGGGCCGATTTTATTCTTCTGAAGAGTAGTCTTCTTCTCCCTCTTTATTATCTCCCACATCTCTGTTTTGAAAAACAGCTTTGTGTGCAGTTAGGCATCTGAATGACTCTTAGCCATTATTTGATTTTGGTTAAGGCCCAGTTAGTCTTGACCTTTTAAAATTAGTCTTGGAATGTGATTTATGAAGGTATGGCCATCTCATTTTCAAATCACCTTTTGGTATTTAGGGGCTTAAAATGACAGTTTCTGAAATGTGAGAGTGGTGATGTGCTGTGTATTTAAATAACAAAAATTTCTTATCCTTGCAGCTGTGACCCCACACTCTTCTGTGAAATGATTTTGCGAATACAAATGAATCGGGAATTCATTGTGATGTGAAAAGAAAGTTTGGGAGTGGATGATAGTTCCATTCTGCCTGAGGTGGCTGAGTGACCTTGAGCTGGTCATTTTATCCCTCTGGGACTCGGCCTTGTCTGTAAAATGGAAGCATCAGACTCAGTTGGCTCTGAGACCTGTCCAGCTCCACCAGCTCCCTCCTTATATTTGAAATCATTTTTAGAGCAAATTGGGGTGTAACTGTGTTTAATTAGCACCAGGAACTAGAGGGTGGAATGACTGAGCAGTAGGTTGCAGGCCTGAATATAGCTTACCTGGATGCCATATCCTTTGTACAGCCTTGTTTTATTTTTGTTTTCAGCACATTCGTTTTAGTATTCTGGCCTCCTAGCAAAGAAAACCAGCTTTCCAGATGTCCCAGACTGAAGTGACACATAAGAGCTGCCCATCAACCTTTTAGCACCATGTGCTTTTAGTTTAAGTGGGTCATAGCACTAATGAAGTTAGAAAATAAGAGAGCACTAGCTTAAAAGAAACCTTAGCAGATCATGTCTGAGGATTAAAGTTGCTTTTCTGCTATGTTTCAGGTGGTAATGGAATGAAGGGTTGCCTGTCCTGTAGGTAATTGTTGTAGGCCTTTATATTTTTATCTGAAAATATATTATAAATTTGTATAGTTCTGTATTGAAAGAAATTTGAATTGAATTTTAAATTCTCTTCTAAGGAAGTGGCTAGGCTCCTTATTGTTACTTTCTGTCTTCTTGTCTCATTTAGTTACATCGAGAAGTTTACTGACTTTCTCCGGCTCTTTGTGAGTGTTCACCTGAGAAGAATCGAGTCCTACTCTCAGTTCCCCGTGGTGGAGTTTCTGACACTTTTGTTCAAGTACACATTTCATCAGGTAAAGCACCAGAAGCCCTTACCCTCCAAAAAACATCTACCTAGTTATTTTAGGAGAAAGAACATTTTTATTTTTATTTTATTCCCCTAATATTTGTATTTGGCCTTCTATGTGAAGGTTAGGAGCTCTGGTAGCATAGTGCCTAAGGCACTTGACTGCTAACCAGAAGGCTGGTGGTTCACACCCACCAGGCACTCCTCAGAAGGAAGGTTGGGCAATCTACTTCCATAGTGATACTACCTCGGAGGGGTCGCTATGAGTTGGGTCTGACTCGACGGCATACAACAACAACAGCAATGTGAAGGTTAACGCGTTAAATCTTCATAACAGCCCCATGAGGTGGGTGCTGTTATTATCACCTTACAGATAAAGAAACTGAGAGTCACTTGCTTGGAGTCATTAGTAAGTGCAAGAGCTAGATTTGAACCTGTAGAGTCTGTACTTGTAACCAATATTATGTTAGAGACACAAAAATAGAGGAGTAAAATTAAGACCTTTAGTTCTATTCTGTAACTGTCACTAAAACTTCCCACAAGAAGATTATCTATAGTGAAGCTTTCAAGAGCTAATTTTGATGATGTTCAAACACATGCTTTTTGAGCGCCTGTTATGTCTAAGGATCTAGGTGTATAATGCCCACGAGCAAAGTCCTTATCTTGGTGAAGTTGGTACTCCAGTGACCCAGTCTTCGTTTATCTGTGTGTTGTAGTTAGTTGCTGTTGAGTCGACTCTGGCTCGTGGCAACCCCATATGTTCAGAGCAGAACTGCTCTGTACAGAGTTTTCAGGGCTGTGACCTTTCAGAAGCAGCTTGCCAGGCCTGTCTTCTGAGGTGCTTCTGATAGATTCAAACTGCCAACCTTTCAGCTAATAGTCGAGCACTTAACCCTTTGTGCCACCCAAGGACTCCTCTGTGTGTGTGTGTGTGTGTGTGTGTGTGTGTGAACAGCTTTATTGAGGTATGGTTTATGTTCCATGGTATTCACCTTATGGAAGTGGACAGTTCAGTCATGTTGAGTAAATTTCTGTAAAGGTGTGCAGCTATCACCACAGTCCAGAAACATGTCTTTCACTCCTAAGAGTTCTTTTGTACACATTGGTGTATGTTTTTTTAAATAAACTTTTTTTGAAGTATAACACACAGAAGTGCTTAAGTCATGAGTATACAGCTTGAGGAATTTTCCCAAAATGAGAAGTCATGTGATTACCACCTAAGTCAAGAAGTTGGGCATCGTCAGCGCCCAGAACTCCCGATACTCCTTCCCAATCACTTCCTCCTTCCTTATGCCTAAAAGTAGCCCCAATCCTGACTTCTAATACTATAGAGTATTGCCTGTTTGCCTGTTTGAGAGGTTCTATAAATGGAAGCATAGGATATTTATTCATTTTGTCTGGCATTTTCATTCAGTATTGTGTTTGTGAGATTTCTCTATGTTGTACATGACGGTTGTTCATTTTCACCACTTTATGATAAGTCCTTATCTGAAAATACCACATTTTATTGACCCATTTCACTGCTAGTTTGTTTCTCATTTTTTGGTGATGATCATGGATCATGGTACAATGAACATTCTTGTACTAATTTTTTGGTGTACATATACAGCTCTTTCTGTTGATATGTACTGGGAATGAAACTGCAGGCTCAGTAGGTGCATCTCATTTTGAAAGTAGACTTTTTTTTTTTTTTTTAAATCACTTGTGTTGCAGCTTAATGAAGCTAGGGAAGATGCAAGAGTCTAGGTAGGGAAGGGTACATGTGTAGGATAGGGGATGTGGAGCAAGAGTTCAGTGCGTAAGCTCCCCTTCCTCAAAGAGATACTTGGCACATAAATAAACATAAGAGAGAACTAGATGGTGCCCAGCTACCACTGCCATCCACTTGGAAGGGATGTAGGAGATCCTGCATAAAGAGGGAGAACAATATGGTACAAAACTCAAAA